TGATCAGCTTCGCTTAGTTGAAAACATTGCAGAAGCAATTGGTAATATGTTAATATCAACAGTACATTAATCACCTGTGTGTGTGTGTTACTTATGAGGCCGATTCCATAAGCGCTTACTTTTCTGCGTTCACATAATAATTTGTTTTTAAGCGTTAAACAAGGAAGTGCGCTCGTTTAAAACTCGAAGCAAAATATTTACGGCATTATCACTGAGATTTACATCTTACTAAGTTTATCGTTGGCGACGATCATTGCCGTGTTTTTAGGACAGAAACGTGGTTGTTGTTTATGCTTTCGTTCAGATGTGTATGTTCAAATTTATAAAGTTATTTTCAGTCTAATTTTTGGAGTTGTTTTCGTGCCGAAAACATTAGCAGAGGGACACAACTTCTTTATTCAATAGCTCTCATCGCAGGCATTCTTCGCAATAAGCAGGTGGCAGTACTAATGACGGAAAGTAAACAAGCAGTGCAACGAATTGAAGAAAATTTCATTGATTCACCCGTATTTTAAATGAGAATCTCGCTTTATATAATCTTCGAAGGGATGAATCCAAGTAAATCAACGTCTGAGATACTTCAAGACCGTGAACGAACCAAAATTACCATTCATATTTCTGTTCCACATTCTTGACGAACTGCTCCGTTCCATTCTCTTGTGCCCATCCACCTATTTTGTCACAATCTGTTCATCCGCCATTCTTCTAATTTCTATCGAAGCTGACTTGTTTCAAATCTTTCAAACCAGTTTAAATATCAATGCTGTTCGCTCAGCTTGATATTTTTTTACTGACGCTAATGACTCGGAACGCGAGAAACTGTATAGAGCTTCTGTATTTCTAAATACTTGTCTCTATTGATTGTAATAATAGATTATGGAATTGATGAAAACAGAGGTGCTTGAATTTTTGATTATTCTTCAGTTTGATTTCATAGCATGAGCAAGGTAACATGACACCGACAGAATGTTAGCCATTTTTCGGACGAGGCCAACGCAACAGTGTGATAAAAAGTTAACCTTTACTATTTGAACAGAACTTTCGTAGCAGACATCAAGGTTTCCTCTGAAACGTTCGAATAACTTCGAATGATATCATTTGAGAACGGCTTTGTTGAATGATTTGTTGAAAAACAAAGGATTCTTTTATTCAACAATAATAAAATTGTTCAAAACGCGGACATCTTGCACGAATACGAAATCATGAAACTGGAACACAATAAAACGAAATTCCTAAAAGCACATAGTAACGTAGGGTTGCACATTCGGTCGAAAACGTTGAATACTACGATCTCTTGGAAATTAAATTATCTGATCCACAGTTGGAGTTGATGGGGTTGGACTCAGGCGACCTTTAGACGTCTCACTGGAACCTTCAGTTGGTGTTGATGAAAACTGAAGTGAAGACTGAGATGAACCTTGTGAAGTCTTAGTCTCGATTGTAGCGCTAGTTTCAGCACCAGTCACTGTGGTTGGATTGATCGCTTGACTTGTCGATCCCATGGTGGTGATCTCAGTTGTCGCTTCCGCATCTGGAAGTTGTGTTTTAGCTGGCTAAAGCAGATAATTCTCTGTGATAAGGCGAACATCCATGTAAGAATTTCGTCGGATGGTGCGATTAAGGACTCGTCAGTAATCTATTTCAGAAACATGAGTTGGGAACGTCATGAGCTATTCATGAGCTTCAACTCATGGAACACACAGGAATGATTACCAATATTTCTAAGCACACACTTGCCAGGAGACCGGTGCAAGTCTCGTATTCCGATCTTTCATCAAATTCACTAGATTCGGACTATTACTAGTTGATTTCTGGGAGCATGCTTAATTATTCGTAACATTCATAGACTTACGATTGCATAAATCAGTATTGCAACATCGAGCTTTCAGTCTCCATCCATTTGTGACCGTAATGTTCTCATACCCGTTTCCAATCCCGCTTAGTCCCTTGAACACAACATCGTTTAGCACTGACTTAATGATGTTGCTGTTTCAGATCAGCGTACAGAAGAAACCTTTTGTTCATTCGAAGAAACAACTTACTGTGCAGTTAACGCTAGGGATGAGCATTTGATCGTCCATTCGGTTTTCGCATGATCTCACATGCAGTAAATAGTTGTACCTGTCTGAAATTGTGATTGAACCATTCATTTTCACATAGATAATGATGGTTTTATGATCGGAATATGCGGATATGCTCAATTATCGAGTGTTGCGATGATCTGTTTGCATCTGCTCGGAATCGATCCAGTCAATCAGCTAAATCACTTAAGTGCCGCTGAGTGGAACCGGACTTCAAATATAGCCAGCATGAGAATCTTCACATTGTTTGATTCCGATCTGGAAACTAAACCGCTTCCCGGTGATTATAGACCACTGAACTTGATCCATTTCTAGCACAATCAATGTTTCCTTATACGATGTCAACAATTACATTTTGAAGCACATCAATACAGTGAAAAAGATACATACGTAACCACCTGCTTCCAATATCCAATTAAAGCAATTTTCTGATGCTTCGCATTGCACAGGTACAAAGCCTTCGTTGACGAGATCATAAACGATAGTCCGAGTGGATGTATAGCCATGCCAGCACTGAAGCGCGTCCACTGGGAGAGTGGCAAACGCAAAAATGACCATCACTGAGCAATATTTCATTTCTTTTTCTCTAAAAGCAGCAGAAATGTTCCCTAAATTATGCAGTGAAAAAGATACATACGTAACCACCTGCTTCCAATATCCAATTAAAGCAATTTTCTGATGCTTCGCATTGCACAGGTACAAAGCCTTCGTTGACGAGATCATAAACGATAGTCCGAGTGGATGTATAGCCATGCCAGCACTGAAGCGCATCCATTGGGAGAGTGGCAAACGCAAAAATGACCATCAGTGAGCAATATTTCATTTTTTTTTTCTCTAAAAGCAGCAGAATTGTTCCTTGGATTATGGAATCCGTCATTAAAAAAGTACACACATGTCGTAAGGTTTATGAAAAATTCATCTTCAATCGGCGTTTGTCAATACATGTGAACATTTAAATTGATATTTACTTATGCCAGGAGGAAGTCTTCCATCTGAGGTTTCAACACTTCGGTCTTATCAACAAAGAAAAATAACATTCGACTGCAACCAACAGTTTTAATGTGCTACATTAATAAGCATTTCTTCGTCTCTCTATGAGCAACCTGATAAGCCTGCGCCCGGAATTTACGCATTAGCAACAAAATGTTGGTAATGCAGATGCAAAATGCAGCCATCGTGCAACAGTGATCAACCAATCAGTTTGTTAATACTGCACTGATCGACTTTGTTTAGTTGAAAACACTGCCGGAACAATTGGTAATATGTTAATATCAACAGTAAATTAATCATCTGTGTGTGTGTGACTTATGTGGCGGATTCC